GCTCAAACGGAAGACATCGGGAACTGAGTTGTGGGCAGTTTTATCAGAAAGGGTGGTCCCTGGATATTTTAATATTTTTTCAGTAGTGACTGCATCATACCAATGAGGCTATACTAGCAATCTAGCCTGGGTAAAGATAAAGAGAAGGAGACAGTCTGTCAGAGAATCCTGATGTTGTGTAGTTCACTGACCGCAGAAGAAACCATCTTGGGACAGCAGAGGCATAGAAAGAGCTCTTTCTTTTTTAATGTGCTTGCTTTGAAAGAGTGACTGAATAAATTTAATAACCTTCATCAGATTTACTGTCAGAGATGTTGTAATCTGTAGGACGAAATTATTTTCTGGTGCAAAACACCAGCACAGGACCAAATGGCTAGAGTGTTAAAAGTGTTTGGTTTATGTTTCAGAAGCAGTTTAAAAGGTTCGTTTTGAAGGGAGTATCAAGCCGTCTTCATCATGAAAACTGATGTCTTAATTGAAATTAGTGATGGCACCATTTGCGTCTGTGTCTTCAACTTGTATCCATCTCTGCCTCCCTTTGGCGAGTAGGTTGGTGTTAATTCTGTGTTTATGCTGAACATGTAGAGTGCACAGAGTATGTGTGTTTTGTATTAGCTGACACAGCTGAACCATGCTATGTAAAGCCCTAGTGCTTTTGTTTCCGGAACGCGTGTGGTTAGAGAGGTGCTAACAACTCACTGCAACAAGCTGGAGTGCCTTTAACAGTGTGCGTTTGGTTGCAACCCAGATGGTATTACTAGGATTTAGAGTAGATGTGTCATGGACATTCAACAGGTGCCACTTTTGGAGTCACAGTTGCGTACCCTTTGATTTACTCAATTGCATTGCTTAGTTAGCATGGTTTAGTGTTATTTTTAAGCTTTGCTGTATAAAAGTTACTTTGATATTTGGTGTTTCCATCTGCCATTCCACTCTCCATGCTTTCTAAACCCCAGCTGCATTTCAAATAAAAAAAATAAATACTCTTCTGTTTCTGTGTTTTCAGGATATTTTAGGGCTTATTATGAACATACAGAAACAGCAAGAAACATTTTGCTTTTTAGTGAGATTAAGTAGATATACATTGGTAAGCTGAATTATCACATATTTAAAGCACAAGCAAAGAGCAACATCAGTAACCTTTGAGCTATATAACAGCTATGCATTATTATATTTGATTATTAATCATATTTAATAATGCAAAGTAGTAAAAAATTACTGGTTATGTTACTAGAAGCTGTATTTCTTTTGCCTAACTTCTGTTGATGTGGGACAATTTTCTGGAAATGCTGTTTAATTGTTCAAAATGTGACAAAGATCTCCAGGCCTGTGCCGCATCTTTTCAGCTAGCAGCAAGGAGAGGGGCAGTTCTACAGAGAAGTTAATAAAGAAGAAGGGACACAAGTTTGCAGAAAAGCATCTCAAAGGTTAATTACAGTGATGGAGCAATTTAAAGCTTGACAGCTAAAATAAAGAGAATGTAATGTAGAGGAGTTAGAAGACAGCATGTGAACAGGATACATGAGTAATCAGCACAAAAAAATTATGTCCTTTTGCAGATAATGGTAGTCATACACCTTTGCTCTGGCACTGGGATATTTGTAGTCAGACACCGCAGAGTCTGACTGCAGTGAAACAGCTTTCCAGGGGCAGGTACCCCTGCCTCTCGGTGCTGTCTGTACACCCAGACAAACCACCCTCTCTGCTCTGTTCTGCTGCAGTGAGACGTTTCTGTTACTCCAGAGCTAGATATTTCTGTGCACTTGTAGCCCTGAGCTGTGTAGTTTTAGCCCCGTTTGCCAACGGCACACTGAGTTTGCTTCTACTTTCTGCTGCTCCCAGAAAGGGGTCTTGTTCACCCATCCAGTGCATCACAGTAGACCTGTTCGTATTTTGATATCTTTATGTTCTGCTCCCTACATGTTGTTTTATGGACAACAAATAATATATGGGTGTGGGAAGCAAGGGGATAATATATGTGGAGGAATAATTTGATGTACAGTGCACCCAATTCATGCTGAGATCGACACTCCAATGTGCTTAATTGGAAACTGAAGGCTTTATTTTTAACATAGTAAGAAACTCTGGAAACCTGCCAGAGCAGGCAGCATCCTTCCAATTAAACACAGGTCAGGCCATCCACATAATCATACTTTCTTTCACCTCCACATTGATTCTTGGACCATCTTAAGTAGCAGGTTTGACACAAATTAGTATTTTTCATATTCTGAAGACTTACAAGCTGAAGCCAATAGTTGACCTGCAGTAAATTGTAAATTAGGGAGAGGGCAGATGGAGTTAGAGACCAGCCCTCCTACCTACAAGGCTGGTGAGAAATTTTGTAAATCAGACTTAGTCTCAGATTTTGTTCTCCGGCCCAACTGAAACTAGTAAATGACAGAAGCAGGACTAGAATTTGAGATACTTTCCCCCCCCCCCCCCCCCCCCC